ATACTTAGTTCTCACTAAAATAAATCAATGTACTCAAAAAATAGCATTCCTCCAAAAATTTCATCAAACAAGAAGGAATGAAAACAGATAAAATCTTTAATAGAATGTTATGTAACATTAAGTCACACTTTCAAGAAATTTTATAGCTTTATTTTCTGATTACAAACATAAAAGTACAATATTCAATCATTACAGAATGTCGAAATTGCAAGCCACATCCAGTTGGTCAAATGTGTTGGCATACTAAATCTTTTTAAATCTATATATATATAGTAACATCACCTTTTTACCAAAATGATATCACACCAGGAGTTTTGCGTTGTATATGTGCAGTTTTAAACCTAGTAATTTATGATGGATATCTTTCCATACTAGTACATACAGATTTACATCCTTCTTTCTAAAGGTCACATAGTATTCCATTCTATGGATACACCAGTTTATTTAACCTTGATGGAAATGATTAATGTAAAAGAAATATTTAAAGCATTAAATTAAAATACTAGGGTATAAAATTATACAGCGCACGTGGCATTCTTACTGCAAACATACCCACTTCTGTGTCCATAGAAAACAATGAGAATATCCACACAATGGAATGAATATAAGGCAATTTCTAGAAAGCAAAGCTATAGCTGGAGATGTAATTATATGGCAATTCTTCTCGATATTATTAAATAGCTGCAAAGCAGTAGGTATACACACACAGAAACACACCCACAGAAACGGAGACTGAAAATGTGATGGACACATCACACCCTACTCCCAACCACTGTCTAACACCCTACACACTTCACTCTTGTAGCATGAGTTTGAAATGTTAATGAATTGGACATGATCTCATTTATGTTAAAAAAAAAAAAAAACTGCATAGGTACTTAAACGTAAAGAAGTATGTACAAACTAAACTATAAGAAAACTTCCACATAAACTTGTATAAAGACTATTCATAAAATGAGAAAAATCTATATTAATTTGTATCAAGACTATAAATAAGGAAAATCAAAAAAAATAAATGATTAACAAAAGATCCCTCCATTTCTTTTTGTGTTTTAATTTAGAATGTTATTTTCACAATCAGAAAAAAAACAAACATAAAATTTGGAAGTACATTCAACTGCTGTATATCTTTCCTTTTCCTCTCTGCTTGTTAGTGCTCATCAGCACTCGGCCCCAGGACAGGGGCCCCGCTCACTCTCAGGCCACCCTGCAGTGCTCCTGTGGAGCCCTCCCCTCACTATCTGCACACTCCTCTCAAGCCAATGCACCCGACGGGGCTCCACACTCAGACCCTGCCCTCACTGACACCTGTCCCCTCTGTCTCACAGTTCAAACTGAATTCTGGCCACATGGCAAACCCATCACTTTTGTTTCCCGCCTTGGAGGCAGGCTCTCACACACCCCTCGTTACTAACGCTTCAACATCTTCCTCTGCTCTCTCTGAAGCAGGAATCCTAGCATGAGTCAAGTAGCAGCCCAGGGCAGGACTTTAAAAGGTTTGACCACGTTAGGAGGACAGGGACGAAGGGAGGGACACACAGGGACCAGGCCTGACTCGGGTCCTAGGGGCTGAGGGAGGCCACCAATTCCAAAGGGAGGGAAGGAGAGGAGACAAATGATGGGAACTAGGAGTAAGTCTCATTCTCCACATTGGGCAAAGGGGCTTACGGGTTTCTAGCTGTTCTTCAACCTCCAAAGATCTGTTCTTAAACACACTACACATCTAAGCACGAAACACTGCGTGCACTATAAGCCTTGTATGCAGAGTGAGTTTCATGCATGAGCTCGACTGTCAAAAACCACAGGACAGTGGGGCTGCCTGATGGACAACAGTGCTGCCACTGAGGTCTATGTGGCAGTATTTATGCCATTCTCTGAATATACGATAGCACTTTACTTCTATTTCATAAAAATCAGCAGAAAACAAAAGCACAAGTCTCACAATTAATGTAACTGAAACAAAGATAGATTCATCAAGCATTCCTGTCTCAAGTGGGGGGTCTTTGGCCTCAATCAAAGGATCAGTGAGTTGAGTGTTCAACTGAACTGGGAAGAACTCAAAGAACATATATCAGAAAGAAATGTGGCTGGGCCGTGTAAGGAGAGAAAGAAATTCCATGACCCCACTGTTTGACCTCAGGCTCCCCATATCCCATCAGCTGCCAGAGAAGCTCTGTAACATCTGCTTCAACCCCACTACTTACTTACTTTGGTTCCTCAACACGATACACCTCGATTCAGCCTCCTCACTCGTTCTACCTACCTCATCAAAGGGGGCTGGAATTGGGAACTTTAAAGTCAGGAGCCGAGGAAGTTACTTTCTTCATTCCTCAGGGACAGCATGGTGTGCGGTCTCTTCTCTCTTCTCGTTTGCTCCATTCTCCTGTCTCTTTCTGCAGACCGACATTCTCTACTTCAGCATGCACATGGAGTAAAATGCTGTCCCAGCCCGAGTCCTACCTCACCTCCCAGGTTAAGCACCCAGCACTGACAGACCCATCACTCTGTGCCTCTGGTTCCCCCAAACTCACCAAGTCTACAAATGCACACTACAGCTCAATTCCTTCTAGGGCAGTGGTCCTCAAACTTCGGGGTACCAGTCATTGGAGGCACTTATGAAAAATGCACCTGCCTTTCCAGGTGTGACAGCTTAGGAGGTTTGTGGTTCTCTAGGAAAGAGGCATCCCAACAAGCAGCCCAGGAACTGTACTTTGAGAACCACTCCTCTAGGCTTAGGTGTCCAACTGGGTCCAATTAACTATGTACAGGAACACACGGACAATAGGGGCTGTTGGCCTAACAATTTTATACGGGAAGGAGTAAATGACCACTACCCCTACCACACCAGCCACAACCTCCACCCTCTGATCTGTTAGGTGGCTCCTCTCAGATCATCTCCACATCACCCTGGCTTACCTCTATCACTTAAGCCTAGCACTTACCACACTCAGCAACATTTCCTTATTGTTGTCATTCTTGAGGGGTCTCCTCAAAAATTTCAAACGAGAGGAAACAGTATCTAAGAGCTTATATGATCAGTCCTTAAATGGTTCAAGACAATAAAGCTACTACGAAGAGACCAAATGTCTTCTGAGCCAGTGTGACTTATATGACCATATTTTGATGTCAGTAATTGGCTGATCACATTTTTTTTAAAGTGGGGAGGGCATGAAAAGGCAGGCCACAAAGCATGATTCCATCTAACCATCAAGAGGAGAGAGAGAGAGCTACTCTGCTCAGACCTAATTTAAATGGAGATTGGGGCAGACGAGGGGCTGCAGATAGGGTGCTTCTGGTATCCTGGTAACCCTAGCAAGAGCTGCACAGCAACCAGATGGTGGCACCAGGCGACCTTACAGGCCAGCGCTGTTAAAGCTCGTCCGCGTCCTCTTGTGCTGATTCCATACTCACCAAGCAACCTTCTCATTATGGTTTCCTTTCCCATGTAGGTCTGCCTACAGGGAGAGAATGTGCTGATCATACACACTTTTGAGTATTTGGGTCCCTGCTGTAGTGATCTCCCACCATAAATGCATCAACCAAAATTGAGAGAACAAGAACATCCTATTTCAGTCACACTATTTTCCAACATAAACTGATAAGTCAGTATGCCTCATATAAGTCTCCTGAGCTTCATTAATGTGTATCTACCAACATAAGATGAGTCCTCAGGTGAAGTAAGGTTTCTGCGTCTCCAAAGGCTTGAGTACTAGACACTAGATACTTGGAGGATTCACTGAGGCCAGGAACAAACCAACTTATCCCCAAGGGCCCACTCGGCACAGCATGTCAGCCTTTCTCCAGGTGGTAATACACCATCAGCATAGTCACCTATCTTGGTGAGCACGTTTCCTCACTCTCCATTTAATTAGAGCTCTCATTCAGTAGACGCTGAGGTCAGGGATTATGTCACTCACTTCTAGACCCAAATTCTAACATAATCCGGTCCCAGATCAGGCATAGTATCAATGCTTGCTGACAGAATGAACAACCTTTGGCTGTTTTGCTCACTTCCCCACATAACATGATTCACTGAGTCTGGTCTGAATCAGCCAGCAAGCCATGAACAAAGAGTACAAGCCCTACTGAGTCTCCCTCCTCAGTACTTCTCTCAAATCCATCCACTTCACTTATTCCCCTGCCGTAACCCTAATCCAAGCCACTATCTCTCCCACACCCACTGTTTCTACTCTCCCCTTCTGAACCCTGAAACAAGATGAAACTTTTAAAACACAAATGTGATTATCAAGTTACTTCCATGGTTAAAATACCTCAATGGCTTCCCATCGTACTTCAGATCAAGCCCAAATACTTACCATTGATTGCAAGGCCTTTCACACTGCAGCCCTGATTTACCCTTTTCCCACCTCAATCAAATGCTACTCCATTCTTTCTTTTGCTCTAAGCATCCTGGACTTCCAGCTCCTCTCTCTGGATCCCTCAGGAACGGCCCTGTCCCCTCTGCTTAAGACTACACTTCCATGACACATTATCATCCGCCATCCTTCATGGCTCAGCCTCAATGTCCCTGACTTTCTCAGGCGGGCCCCATGTAATCTCTCCCAGAGTAACTCAGCTGTCTATAGTGAATGTTCTCTTTCCAGCACATGAATCACACATTAATTTTTTCAATGTCTTTCATTACCCAATAGACTATGAGCTCCAGAAAAACACTTCCTCTCCCACTTGGGTTGTTGTTCAATAGATGAATTGATGAATTACTCATGCTTCTTTAATCACCCAATAAGAGAGAAAGAGCAGGCCTGAAGGATTAGCTGAGTATTGAGAAAAGAGTTAGGATGCTGAAAAAGGTGTCTTGAGACCAAGGAGAATTTCTGGCAAACAATCAATCCACCAGAAAAGTCGTACGTTCTCAGAGAGCAAAAATGGTGCTTGTGTGGAGGTATGGAACACGTGTACAATAGGAAAGCGTCAGGATGAGGAAGGATGTGTTCACTCCAAGGATGGGTGTGGCACTGTGAAAAGGGAATTCAGCTCACCTGGACCCAGCCACCTAGCGTTTGGACCTAGTCCCTCTTCCTCTTGCCAGTCGTCTCCAAGAAGAGTAGAAGCTCAAGAAGGCAGAGCTGGGGAAGGAAAAGAAAACACGAGACATCAAATTTACTTCACAATGACTGGATTTTTCAGGCTGGAAATGACCCCAAAACAGCTGCATCTTTGTCTCCTACAGCGGGAGAGGTCAAACGAGACCACGAAGAACAGCTTTCGCTCCCAGGATGAAAGGGCCATGGGCACTGCCCCCTGAGGCACATGTTGTACCCTGGGCAGTAATCACAGCCTTCTTCTCAATGAGCTTCTGTCAACGGGTGTGCAAGTCAATCTCTGGTGTCTTAAAACCTTCTCTAACAAGCAGAGCAAAATAGTAAAGACATGGGGCTTTGAATTAAGAAACCAATTCAAGAACCCCATTTCCTACTTACCAGCTATGCAGCACTGGCCATCCCCCTAAAGCTAAGGGACACGTGTTGCAAGTAAAAAACTGGAGAAAAAAATGGCTAAGAAGGTACTATTATTTACTGCTATCTATGTGCCACATACAGTGCCGAGCACCTTGCTTTTATTGTCTCTGTTACTCCTCACCACAACACTATTAATTTTCTTGTTCTCATTTCGCAGAAAAGCAGCAGAGGCTCAGAGAACTCAATCTCAGATCTCATGGCAAACTATTAAAGATCAACCTAACCTCATTTTGAGAAACAGTACTACATCTACTGACGTTTTCCAGAGACCACTTGGAGTAATGATATAGGCACCCCTTAAAAAAGTGAGTTGAAACTCCAGTTCTGCCATTTAACGGCCACTGATGCAGGGCCAGAAATTTAACTCTGCTGTAAGTTTTTAAGTAACATGAAGGGATTAGCTTACATTAGGACCTTAGTGCCGTTATCATCGTTATCATCAGATAATGGTATCATTACTTAATCTTATGTAACATTTTAGAGATTATCAACATGCTCCAAGTGGACAACACTACGTATTTCAGGTCCCTCTGCGCCTCAGAGCATGCATTCAATCAACTGGAGGCCCCTGGGGGAAGTACCGTCATGATTATGCCTCTGGTTTATGTTAATGCTATCACTCACTGGCGAATGTACACTTCATTACGTCTGTCCCACCACCCAGCTGGGAAGGAGGAATCCAGGGCGTCACTTTCCCTACTTCCAAAAAAAAAAAAAAAAAAAAAGAGACAGAGAGGTAGGGACTTAAAAGCTCCTTAGGTGGAACTACGACTAGAAGTGGCCCCTCTGGGGTCCAGGGTGAATGTAAACAAATACGGTGAGACCGAGTTCAAACTCGGAAACTCAACGATCCCCTAGCGGACAGCGCCACAGGCGGCTCTGCGCAGGCGCAGCCCTTACCCTCCCCAAAGAGTAGGAAGCCCCGCCCAAGAGCAGGGCAGCCCCGCCCCTCTAAGCCCCGCCTCTACTTGCCTAGAGATCCTCCTCCCCTCCATCATTTCCCACGCCGCACCCACTCATAACCATCTACAGCTCTGAATTCTCTATTCCACAGGCTTCAGGCCTTTTACTTTGCATAAACTCCCCACCGACCTCAGGGCCTCCAAACCCCAGATCTGATAGCCACAGCCTGCCTCCTCCGTTTCTCACTTAAGATCCCCCCTTTCCCCAAGTCTATTAAAATTCTTGAATTACAAACCCCACTTTTTCTGCAGACCCCCAGAACTGCACAGTTGAACCGTGTCCCCACATTCCCCGAAGACTTGGCTTTCGCGCCCCTTGGAGGAATCAGGGCACCAGTCGACACACGGCGCGGCCGCCAAGATGGCGCCCCTGCGGCAAGCGCGCGAGGCCGGCGAAATGGGCGCCTGCGTAGCACGCCAGCAGAACCGGCTGGGCCAGGCTCACAGTCTCCCAGGACCCCAAAGCCCCTCAGCCCGCACCGCACAGTCCCACTGTCACTCAGCTTGGGGCATGCGCAGCAAGCCTCAGTCACCTTTCCTTGGCCAGGAAAGGTGGGCTGGGCTCTGCAGCCCCCGTCAGTCACTCAGAACACACCAGCCCCTCCCTCAGGCCCGCCCCCTGCAGTTCCGTCATTCCGGATGGCGCCTGCGCAGGAAGCCTCAGTGGCCATCTACTGACCAACAAACATAGCGCTAGCAAGGGCAGGCGTCTACAGCCCCATCAGTCACTCGAGACAAAGCACCCCCTCCCACGGACCTCTGTAGCTCCAGTCATTCAAGATAGCGCGCACGCAATAGGCTCCGGCTGCCACCTGTCGGCCAACAAACCCCATGCTAAAGTAGGCAGGGCTCTGCAGCCCCGCCCTTGGGCCCGCCCCCTGCAGTTCACCGTCAGTCAAGATGGCGCCTGCGCAGGAAGCCTCGGCTGCCACCTATCGGCCGACACAACACTAGAGTGGGCGGGGCTCTGCAGCCCCCTCGTCAGTCACTCAGGGCATGACAGTCCCTCCCTCGGACCAGACCCCTCCAGCACCACCATCATTCAAGAGGATGCCTGCGCAGTAAGCTTCAGGGCCACCCCCTAGACCAAGAGCGCTAGATAGGCAAGGGGTATGCAGTCCTCCGTTAGTCATTCAAAACACAACAGCCCTCCCTCGGGCGCGCCCCCTGCAGCTCCACTGTCATTCATGATGGCGCCTGCGCAGTAAGCTTGGCTGCTACCCATCGGCGACTACACCGCCAGAGTGGGCGGGGCTCTGCAGCCCCCTCTTCCGTCATTCAAAACACAACAGCCCTCCCTCCGGCCCGCCCCCTGCAGCTCCACTGTCATTCATGATGGCGCCTGCGCAGTAAGCCGCGGATGCCACCTACTGGCCAACATATACAGCGTCGGGGGGCGGGGCTCTGCAGCACTTCGGTCCCCAGGACAGCCCGTGGCCCCACCCTCTCAGCCCTGCTGACAGGGCGCCTGCGCAACTCACCTCGGCTGCTCCCCGCCCCCAGCACCCCCAGCCAAAAGGTGAAGCCAGACACACGCCAGGGTGAAAACAGCCTCAGGAAGACGACGACAGTGGAAGAGGTGGGGATCTCAGGCCTCGGACCCAGCCAAGAAGAAACTGGGCACACTGACGGCCTGCAGCCCTGTCCCTCAGTACAACCAGCTCCATGACGGCAGCAGCCGCGGCAAATCTGGGCGCCACGGCAAACAGGGGCACAGCGCCTGCTTCACCAGACATAAGATTCTCCAGGAGATAAAATATTATCTTGTTTTATCCAGGCCGGTAAAACGGCGCGCTGTCACTAGCCGAGGCCCAATCTCAGAAATCAGAGTTCACGGTGGCACCATCACGGCAAGCTCTGCGACCAGACCTGCGACCAGCAAAGAAGGTGGGCGGTAGGCAGGACCCGCAGCCTTCAAGGGCCACTGCAGCCCTCGGCGCCGCCCGTTCGGCCAACCAGCCAAGACCACGGCTGCGCGGCAAACCTGGGCCGCCCCAATCTAAGGTGGCGCGGAGGTAGGTGGGGCTCGACCAGACGGTCAGTGCCCAAAGTGACCCGCAGTCCCGACAGACCTTGGCCCCGCCCCAACACACAGCCAACCAATCAGGACAGCGCCTGCACAGCAACCCTTAGCACCCACACCAAAGATGGCGCTGGGGTGGGCGGGGCTCCCAGTCCGTCACCGCCCAGAGAAAATGCCCGCAGGCACGACAGGCCTCAGCCCCGCCCCTTGCAGCCCCTGGCCCCTCCCACCGCCTCTGCGGCAAACAAGTCCCGCCCCCAAGGAAGCGCGTGGATGCGGGGGGGGGGCGGCCCTGGGACCCGGCCAATCGGAGACCCCGAGGGATGGGGCCAGAGCTCTGCAGCCCCCAGACCCAGCCGAGAAAAGCGGGGGCGCCCGAGACTACGCTGGCCCTCGCGTTAGGGACAGGCCACTCCTCCCACCACTTCGCCGCCGCCCACCCGAGCGGGCCCACCGTGACAGGAGTCCGCGGCAGTGCCGCCCTCGGCCCAGGGCTGCCGCCGCGGCCGTCCATCCCGGTTCCCCACCTCCACCCAGGACAGATGGCGCGGGAGCCCCCAGACCCACGGCCCCTCAGCGGGGCGGCCCGCCCCCGAGACCCCGGCCAGCTGCGCAAGATGGCGCCGCTGCGGCAAGCGCAGCAGCCCCCGTCGGCCCTCTGGGGACCCCAGCTCGGCCGCCCGAGGGCCGGACCTGCGGCATGTGACAGCCTTGCCGCCGGGCACACAGTCCGGCACACCGTCGAGGTGCGGAGGTGCGAGGCCGGGGCGGTCGCACTCACCTCACCGCACCGCCCGACGGCGCCCGACGGCTCCGCCCAGCGCTGCCTGCGCGCCGTCTAGCGCGCCCACACGGCCCCAGGCGCCCAGCGGCGCCACCAGCCAAGGGCGGACATGCCCTCCGCCCCTCTCCGACCTCGTCCTCCCGCAGCTCCCGGGCGTCTGCGCCGAGCCTCTGCCCGCGACTCCTTGTCAGCCTCTCCGCAGAGGCGGGGCTCCGGCGCGGACCAATCAGCGGGCGTGCTGACCGCCCCGGGCCCCTCGCCACGCCCCCAGGCCCTGCCAATCAGGCCACGGTTGCCGTGGCCACGGCTTGGCGCGAAAGCAGGAGGTTGACGTCAACTGAGCTGAGGCGAGGGGCCCCAAAGAGGGGTCTGGAAAAAGGGGGGGGTGAGTGGGTGTGTGCGACCCCCAAACAAAGACAGGGGGGTGATGCGGAGAAAGGCCCACTAATGACACCGAAACGCAAAACCGCCGAAGAAGAAAACATACATTTGTCTAAAAAAATGCAAATCCGGCGGGCAAAAACATATGTCGAAGCCTAAAGACAAACGAGAAAGTGGGAGACGAGACTTTCTGCCTGGGACACATGAAAGGCACGGGGCTAACTTCCTTAATAAACGAAGAGCTCTTAAAGACCAAACCAAGCCAGAAAAAAGGGGCAGAAGGGAAGGAAACGGGCGATTCACAGGAAAATACAAATGGCTGAGACCTACGGAGAAAAATCACGACCTGACTCAACGGAGCGCAAGACGGGGAGCCCGGGCAAGCGCGGGATGGACGTTCTGCACGAGTGGGGTCGCCGTCCAGCAGACCCATGCAAGCGCGCTGCAGGCGGTGGCACAGAGCGGGACCGCGAGCGACAGGAGCGGACGGGGGTGACTAACTCACGGGCTAGCGCCGTCTGGGGCTAAGACAGACCACGACTCGGTAACAGAGTTAGCGAAACGCACGAGGTGCTGAAGGGGTAGAAATGAACTGGTAAGTGTGTTCGTTTGTTTGTTAAGGATGAACACATTTGCAGGTAAAACTTCTGGAAAAGTATACAAGAAATTGTTAACTGGCTACCTCTATGGAAAAGGAATGAGGGGAAGGAGGATGAAGGAAGGATTTTTCCCTTCTCCAATCCATACTGTTTTAATCTCCTTGATAGAAATATGTATTTCTTTTCTAGTAGTAAAATCAATGAATTATAAAAAGCTCATTAATGTACCCTCCCTTTGATCCAACTATTCCACTCTCAAAGAACTAAAGCAAAGGAAATAAGCAGAGATGTACAAGAGATTACATGCAAGCATATTCATGGAGCTTCATTTTTATTAGAAAAATGTACTCCGCAGAAGAATTAAATTGTATTCTGGTAAATCCATACATTGCAATTTTATGTGGCCAATGAAAATGTATGATTTTTAACTTTAAAGGAAAAAATTCATAAGATACATCAAGTCAATTACAAAAATCAGGTTACCTAAAAGCACATAAAATATGATACCCAAAATTAAATTTTATATTTATACTTAGTAAGTATAAATCAGTGGTTGCTTGCTACATTAAGAAGCTACCGGCTTGGGGTGGGGGATGTCTAAACTCCCCAAGTCTTCAACACCCACTTCTCACCCAGCAGGGCCACGTAAACATAAAATCTGAACGAAAACATTGTGTTTGCTATGCATCTTCAGAACATATTCTCCAGCAGCCTCTATAGAAATTCTAGGGGTACCAGTTAAAGTGAATGTGGTACCACCCCTAGGTCAGAGGTTTTCAAACCTGGCTATGGGTTCCGATCAGCTGGGGAGGGTTCAACACTAGATGCCCAGGGTCCCACAGACCTGTGTTTATTTTGGAGCTCCCCAGGTGATCTTAATGTCTCGTTATGGTTTTGGAGGTGATTTGAACACATTCTATGGACCCCATCCCTGCTCTCCTTCTCAATTCTCTATCTGCAATACTTAAGTGTCTCTCTGGATCCTGGATCATTCATTCCCATCAGATACCACATGCTCTCAGAGCTCCTCCAGCTAGTACTCCTTTTCTCAGCACTCCCTCCCCCCACCAAAAAAAAAAACCCTCTTGACTGAGTGGTCTTCTGTCACTGACTCAATGACCTACCACACATTCTCTCCCTCTACTATGCCACACAGGCTTCCATCCCTTCCACGCCCCTAAAACTGCTTGAAAATTTAAGCAATGCCCTCTGCAGCTAGGAAACCTGTTCTGAATCTCACTTGATCTTTCAGTAACATTCAACATCTTCATTAAAACAAACAATGATAACAAAAACCCACGCTATCTCATTTCTGGGAACACTACACTGCCCTGGTTTTCCCCCCACGTCAATGGCCTCTTCTCCTTCATCTTAGGTGGGTTCTGCTCTGTTCAACCTCTAAATGCTCAGAACTCAGTCACTAAACTTCTCCATCAGCATCCACTCCCTCGGTAGCGGTCTCACCTAGTAGCATGGTTTGAATACCACCTACACACCAATGGCTCCCAAATTTAAATCCTCTGTCACAGAACTTGCCACAGAAGCCCAGTCTCATATATCCAACTGTCTGCTTAGCAGCTAACTGCTCCACCTGGATGTTTAATAGGCAACTCAAAGCATTTAAAACAAGTATTAATTTCCCTTTTCCCCATTTCTATAAACAGCACCAGTTGCAGTAGCCAAAAATCTCACAATTTTTCTCGATTCCTCTTTTCCTTACCACCAATATCCAATTCACTAGCAAGTCCTGCTGATTCTACATCCAAGACACATCCCAAATTTGTCCCTTAAGTTCCCTCTGCAGGGTATTCTAGTCACTACCACTGCCCCTAGATATTAGCCTACTCACTTGGCCACCTGTTTCCACTCCAAACTCCTCCCTCCAACACTCTCTACACAGCATCCAGAGTGATCTTCTTTAAAGGCAAATGTTGCAGCTTGAATTACCCGTCCTCTACCCCAGTTATGCTTAAATATAAGTCTAAAATCCGTACCATAAACAAGGTTAAAAGAAAAGCCATCAATAGCTTTTGTCATAGAAGTGTGTTAAATACTGGTGCTGTAAAATTTAACAATCTCTTCCTTCAGATTTATGCTTTTTATACCTTAAGAAATCCCTCCCCATGCTGAAGTCATAAAGATATTCTAATAGCCTTAAATTTTATTTTCTTTATGTTTACATTTATATATGTTCTGTGGGAGGGATCTCATTTTTCTCTTGACATATGTTTCTATATATGAGTGGGCCTGTTCCTCAATTCTCTAGTCTGTCCCACTGGCCCATGTGTCTGTCTCTGTGTGTTAACACAGCATAGTTAACTATTACAGCTTTACAACAGCTTGATATCTGAAAGGGCAGCTGCCCTCCCTTGTTTTTCAAAAGTGTCTTTGGCTATTCTTAGCCCTCTATCTTCAAAAGACTTTTAGAATTAGCTTGTCAAGTTTGATGAAATATCCTACAGGGATTTTGACTGACATTTTACAAATTCATAGAGCAATTTAGAGAAAACTGAAAACATTGTTTCGAGGCCTCCCATCTTTAACAATGGTCTATGCCACCCATTTATTCATGCCTTCTACAGCCATCATCTGTATATTATAATTTCTTTTTCCTATAAAGATCCTATTTGACTTTAGGGGGTCTTTTTTCCTATTACGTATCTAGGTAGTTATTCTTGGGTTACAACAGTGGTACAGCTTTTTTTTTTTTTTAATAACTTCAGATTTACAGAAAAGTTGCAAAGATAGCGAAAGATTCCTTACCCAGTTTCCCCTGACGTTAGTTAACATCTAACATAACCTTAGTACATTGTCAGAATAAGAAATTAACGTTAATACAAAACTATTAAACTACAGACTTTATTTGGATTTCACCTGTTTTTCTATAAATGTCTTCCTTTCTGTCCCAGGATCCCATCCAGGACACCACATTACATTCAGTTGTTACGTCTCCTGAGGCAACTCAGGGCTGTGACAGCTTCTCAGTATTCCTTGCTTTTCATAACTTGAGCAGTTTTGAGGAGTACCAGTCAGGTATTTTGTAGAATGTCTCTCAATTTGAGTTTGTCTAATATTTTCTCATGATTTATCTTGGGTTATGAGTTCTTGAGAATTATCTATTATTGCTTTTTACGTGTTGATTTTGTATCCAGTGAACTTGCTGACCTCACTTGTTAGTTCTAATAAGTTTGTCTATTAGACAAAAAGATTTTCCTGGATTTTTGTTTAATGTTAACATCTTGATTAACGACAATTTTTTACACTGATTGACAATCATACCTCATTTCATTATCATAATGCATTGGATAAGACCTCTGGGCTGATATGTAATAAGTCTTGCTCTAGACCTGAAAAGGGGATACTTCCTATCTGTCCTCATCAAGTAAAAATGCTCACAACAAGCTTTTTTGTAGAGCCTCTTTATTAGGGGTTAAGGCAATTCCTTTAAGTTCTAGTTTTCTAAAAATTTTCTCATGAATAAGACTAATTTTATATAATGACTTTTCTACATCTTTTGGGAAGGTTATACTTTAGTATTTTGTATAATGTGTTAACGTGGAGAAGGCAAATTTTCTGATGCTGAAACATGCTGGCATTCCTAAGCTCTCCTGGATCATGATTACGAGGGTCTGACTTATACACACACGCAGCTGGATACAACTGGGTTATATTTTACTTTTTTTTTTTTTTGCATCTAAGCTCTTTATTATACTATCCTTGTCTGGTTTCGGTATCTAGGTTATACTAGCCTTATAAAATGACTTGCTGCCTATATTCTCCACAACAGTTTATATAAAAATAGAGATTCTCTGCTTTTTCAAAGTTTACTATAACTCACTGTAAAATTATCTAAATCTGATGTCTTTTGCATGGAATATTTTAGACTTAGTTTCCTTAGTTTTGGACTTATATTGAAGGTTTGTCTTGAGTCAACTTTGGTCATTTATACTTTCCAAGAAAATTGTCCATTTCACTTAAATTTATTACCATATAATTATTCACAGTATTCTTTTGATTTTTAATCTCTTCTTCATTGGTAATTACGTCCCCTTTTCTATTACCATTATCATTTCATCTATTGTTTTCTTCATCAGTTTTGCTAAAGATTTGACAATTTTATGTCTTTTAAAGTGACTTTTGGTTTTTTGACCATATTTTTTCTTCTTTTCCATTTAA